GAATGTTGATGATATTTTGGTGTTTGAAATATAGAATGGAGTCTTTTAATAAAATATTAATAAAACTATCAAATTAAATAAGAATAATGAATGTGAAGATGATAGCTAATTCCCAATTATTCAGAATAAAGATAAAAATATAATATTGGTAAGACATAAACATCATATCTATCTGATTAGGCAATTAAATGATGGCACATTTAATATTATCGCATCATTAGATTGCTAAAATCGTGAGATTTATGGAACTTTGACGAATAATGGATAGTATTTGATATTTTGGGATAAAAAATAAAAGAAGTATTAATCATATGAGATATTAAATAAATGAAAAACCATTTAATATTTAATCATCATTCTATTTTATATAATTAATCTATTAAAAGTGAATAAAACCAAAACTCAGATTAGGAATTTACATGTCACAATTATAATCAAATAAATTATTCATTATTAAAAATATTAATTGTTCCTTCAAATAAATGTCTCTTTTATGGTTGATTAATTTATATATATAAATTTTTAATTTTATTTTTATTTTGATCATGTCTTATTTAACAATCTTTTTTTGAAGTGAATACATTGGTTTCTTTGAATTAAAGCTTTGTTGTTTTTTAATTATCAAATTCTAATATATTCTTTGAATAAGAATATTTTATTAAATATTATTCCTAATATACAAGAAAATCAAAAATGTCTATAGTTAAGAGCAAATAGAAATCAAGAAAGTTATTTCTCACAACTAATTTTTTATAATAAAAAACCAATTAAATTTAACTAATTTAGAACTAAAAATTATTAATTCCAACATATTTAATTTTGAATATATTTAATATTTAAGTATTGATTTTTGTAAAATAACTTTTTAGGACTTTAAACTCTATTATTTTCTAGTTCCCTTAATAGTTTCAAATTTTCATCAAAAAAAAATTTGACTAAAATACACAGATAAATAATATTGATATCCTGAAATAAATAATAATATTAGGTAAATCTTTAGCTAAAAGAATGAGTTTTAATTTTTAAATATATTTACTATTTATGTAAGCAAAGATCGATTTTTATAAATACAGTTGAAAATAAAGAAGGTATACTGAAACTTTACCAGTAGACACCTTCCCAATGGCTGTACAAGAAGTCCAAGATTCTCAATCTCTTAGGGCCCTCTTGAATCAAAGCCTCTCCCATCATTTTGCATACTTGAACTTCCATTCCAACTCACTACAGGTATCATATGGTGTAATTATATTCATAAA